TTATTTGAAAACTTATATAATGCATAATCAGCTTCAGTTCAATATATTCAGAAACCCGCTCCTATTGGACAGTGGCTCAGAGTTTGAAAGCTTAGAGGAAAGAATTTCAAAGATTCAGTCGACTTTACTTTCCCTAGGCATAGTGTGAAATATCATTTAAAATGTTGATGATGCGTCGTGCGTGCGACTTTGTGGTCTTAGCCGTAGTTTTAGCTGTGTCTTCAACCGAAGCAAAGATAATTGAATTTGACTCTTGTGGATCTCTCATTAGACCGATAATAGGGAAAGTCCTACAGATTGACTCCATGTGACTCTGAACCTTGTGTCTTCCACGTAGGAGCCAATGTTACCGCCAAAATCACCTTCATTCCTGAAGAAACTGTCCAAGATGGTCTCATCGAATTGGTGGCCATATTTTCTAGAGGGGAGAGACTACCATGGCCTCTAAAAAATCCCTTTGCTTGTGAAGACCACAATCTTAACTGCCCTTTGAAACCGAAAGAGCCTGCCACAGCGATCATACAGACTCGCGTTATAGAAGATATACCCGGAAGCTACAAGCTTGTTGCTCAAGTTTACATGGCAGAAACAGTGCTGCAAAACTATGTTTTCTGTTTCAGAATACCTCTACAAGTAACTTACTAGGATCAAATAGGAACTCTCGCTATTTTTACCTGCTGATGTAACCTTACCAAAGTAGTCAGTACAAATATGCTTTCTTGACAGAGATAAGAAAAATAGTGTGTAGCGAAAACTTATCATGCTTATATAAGCTGAATAACAAATCTTTGTTGTATGTATGCATAGCCCAATGCTATTCAAGACAAGCCACTGAATTTATATTAATAGACAATAAATGAGTGAATTTGTGGCCAAAAATGCGTTTATATTCTAGTCATGGTGAAGTAACTATCATATAGCTAACAGTTTAGCATATAGTCACTAGCTTCCGGGTCATGGGTTCCATTCCTATCAGGGACTCAGATTTCTCAGTATTCTTACTCAGTTTTCATCGTTTTCATAATAAATTTCATTACTAAGTATTTAAGGTGGCTCCATGGGGTTTTATCCACGCGATAACATTCAACTTCAAATCGCAAATACGCGAACGCAGACAATCCAATACTAAAATTTTTTAAAGACGTTTCAAGGGAAAGATGAGTTTTCGAACGAGCATGTTTTTACTGAAAGCGAAATTAATATAATATCGCTGTTAAGCGTTGATGCTTTTACTTTATTGCCTATTTTCTCTATTTTTTGACCTAGGTTTTTAAATTGCTTTTGAGATATTGGAGGATAAGTAATTTGCTCAAGGTTCAGAAAATTTGAAGAAAAACTGTATGAGCATTTTCGAGTGATTTCATATTGAAGTTTTGAAGTGTGAAAAATTTGCAGAAACAAAACATGTTAGTAACTTTGTGGAAAAGTAGTTTGTTTCCTCAGTTTTGAGTTCCTAATTTTATCTAAAGAAGTTGGTAAATGTTAATTAACATTTTCGTGAATTCAAATCTACACGATGAACTTTTTTAAAATTTATGTATTTACTATGTAAATTAAGTGCCGCGTGACTCAAGTTGTTTTCATAAGTAACAGTATTTTAAGCTAATGTCGAAAAAGAACGAAGAAATACTTGGGTTGTTTGGGCTCGGCATCCGACGAAACCTGTTGAACCAGACATAACTATATCCTAGATTAACTCTAGGACTAAAGTTGACTTCAATTCTTGCTGTCTTCTGTACTTAACCAAGAATATTAGAAGCCTGGCATTGATATATACCTGACTCAAGAGGTGTAACCTTTTGGATCCCAAGGTCAGTATTATTCAATATGAATGCATTCGTGGGCATCAAACCATTGACTCTAGACCATACAATGGATGGTCTTGGATATCCTTTAGCAGAACAATTCAGGATAGGAGACTTGCTTTCATTGACGTTCAAACGAGGAAGACAGATGACAACTAATGGATGTTCTAATGGATGGACCGCGGTCCCCTTTCGGTCCCGGCAAGCCTCGAGGACCGGCAACTCCATTTTGTCCTGGATCACCTTTCAGTCCCGGTACTCCTTGCTTGACTGTTCTACCTGATTTACCCATGGGTCCTGGTGCTCGTATAACGATAAAGTTCTTAGCAGCTACTGCACAAAGTTCTTACCATGCTGCTGCATTATTTTGGTTAGTTTTTCGATAAGACGGCTCTCACTTTTCGTATCGTTAGTTTCTCCCTGCAATAGTGAGTCTTTCCCGTCGACACTCCTTTGCATTCGTTTCTTTGTTCTTCCACAACATTCCTTAACGTCCAAAGCGAGTCGTTCGAGGCTATTTCCTTTGTTTGCAGCCATGTTGTCTACATTGACTGCTTGAAAGGTCATCTTGTTCTCCAACTGTTGCATTTTCGTGTTTTGTTGCATCAGAATCATCTCGATACGTACAAACTCACCACAGCACAGCAACAGAGCGATGATGGTGACTATCTTTGAAGCGGTTAACTTATCATTTTTAGTTTCCAAAGATACACTCGGTTAATTTAGAGTATTCCTTTGAGATATCAAATGAACAACGACGCGCAGAACTTTAAAAGACCAGGATTGTTTTGATCAAAGTTACGTACAAAGGTCGTCTCTAATCAATTCTAATAGATCTAGAATTTCAAGACCTCATATCGCATTTGGCAAGAAATCAAGAATCGATAGTTAGGTTAGAGATATTTTTTTTCTTATATAGAACACAGGTAGCCCAATTTAAAAGATTTTACTCTTGAAATCACTCTCGACCCCAAAGTCTTACAAACACCAAGGACAGACTCGTACCCAGTCGCTTCTCTTGTCTTATTGATCTCACGCTGTGGTTGATGGGAAGCATTTAGTGAGTTCCCGGTGCATCAGGGGAAGGAAAAAAGCCACCTTGCGCAAAAGCCACCGCTCGCAAAAAAGCCTGAAACAAATGACGACTGGGTACGAGTCTGTCCTCAGTCTTTCTCGTAATGGCTAATACGACACCGGAAATCGAACACAGGTCGCATTCTTTACTTTCGAATGCCCCATAATACTTTGCGCCTTGGGGTAACCAATCAAAACACTGTCCCAAAATGATATGCTCTTCAACTAAAGGTACACTATACCTTTTTGAATCTCTTAAAAAACTAACTTATCTCTTTCTGTTTCATTTTATTGACATCAAACGAAGTGCTTACAATTGACATTCAAAGATTATATTTATTCATTTTTCACATGAAAATGAAAAGGTTCTCAGGAGATTTTTTTTTTTTTTTTTTTTTTTTTTTTTTTTTTTTTTTTTTTTTTTTTTTTTTTTTTTTTTTTTCCAAATTTAGCTTTTTGACGTCTATATGCATGATATCCAAAACCACAATAGAATTTGCATTCAAAGATTATGTATATATATTTGTCTCTTAATTTTGGCAGTTTCGACTAAAACTGCTATAGACTCGATCAGGCGATGGCGTAGTCTGAAGGTTGTCTTCTTGGCTGTGATTGGCTGCAATAGGTGGGCGTGACGGAGTGTTTTCGAATGGTCGGTATCCACGCTTCAGGAATCTCAATTCTGTTGTCCTCATTGATGTTGTTGGGATGGAGTCTAAGATGGATGACTTCTTTGACTTTTGCGTGTGTACTAGTGGTTGTCTCTGTCTATTCACTCGACGTTCTACCAATCTGGGCGGATGTCTCTCTCCTTTTTTTCCCAATCTTTCTTGCCTGGTCTCCCAGGTTCATGCTGTAGACGCTGTAACACTCGATGCACGGGATCTTGTAGACTACTTCGTCATGTCGGCCAGAAGGGATTAAATAAATTAATCGTGTATAGAAACGTATGAGAACACACTCCAAATGTATGCTAAAGTATTTTAGTATTAGATGATTATCGAGAATTTTTACGATTCAGCAGATGGCTTTAAAAGATATGATGAAAATTCCACGAATATTGTTTGATACGCAATGCATGATGGGATAGTCTGTTGGTTTATTAAACAAAAATTAACAACTCATTCACCTCCGACGGGACTCGAACCCGCAACCTTCGGCTTAGGAGGCCGACGTCATATCCATTAGACTACAGAGGCTTTACAATCTAAAGTTCAAAATCGTGCCAGTACTAGTACTCTTCCTTCATATACCCATAATACTTTGCGACTTTGAGGGTAGCCAGAGGAAAAAACCGCACTTATTGTGGTGAAGGCTGATTAAATAGTAAGCACTTCGTTTGATGTCCAAATACTAAAATGAAACAGAAAGAGATAAGTTAGTTTTTTTAGAGACAAAAAAAGGTATATTGTACTTTCAGTTGAAGAGCATTTCATTTTGGGACAGTATTTTGATTGGTTACCCCAAGTCGCAAGGTATTGTGGAGCATTAGGAAGTAAAGAAGGCGACCTGTGTTCGATTTCCGGTGTCGTATTAGCCATTACGAGAAAGACTGAGGAAAAACCTGGGTCGAGTCGACATTGTAGTGCATTGTTGGGGCTTTTTTGGGACATATTTCCAAGATGGCGAAAGCAGTCCCACGATGCACTGCAAATACCTACTCGACCCTTTTCCTCAACTTCGGAACAATACACCATTTTCGTATGATGCACACCGCTGATTTTGAAGACCAAAGACCAGGTCTACATTTCAATGGTAACAGTACTGTTGCTAGYGAAACAAGAGAAAGTAYAACTAGTTTAATCCTTGGTGATTGTAAAACCTCTGACAGAATTCGGATATCAAATAATCTAGATTAATAATGGTATTTCGTGTAGCATGTGCAGTAAGAATCCTTTGAAAGACTTTGGGGTCGAGAGTGATTTCAGTAGTAAAATCTTAAATTGGGCTACCTGTGTTCTATATAAGAAAACAATATCTCTAACCTAACTACCGAYTCTTGATTTCTTACCAAATGCGTTATCAGGTCTTGAAATTCTAGATCTATTAGAATTGATTAGAGGCGACCTTTGTACGTAAATTGATCAAAATATGCCTGGTCTATTAAAGTAGTATGTTCTGCGCGTCCTTGTTCATTTGATATCTCAAAGAAATACTCTTAATTCGAAGAGTCTAAATAACCAAGTGTATCTTTGGAAACTAAAAATGGATGGAAACGTTTCCAAGTCGAATAAGTTAGCTGCTTCAACGATAGTCGCCATTGTTTCGTTAGTCGCTCTCTTGCTGTGCTGTGGTGAGTTTGTACGTATCGAGATGGTTCTGAAGCAACAAAACACGAAAATACAACAGTTGGAGAACAAGATGACCTTTCAAGCAGTCAATGTAGACAAAATGGCTGCAAACAAAGGAAATAGCCTCGAACGACTCGCTTTTAAGAACGTTCAAGAATGCTGTGGAAGGAACAAGAAACGAATGCAAAGGAGTGTCGACGAGAAAGACTCAATATTGCAGGGAGAAACTAACGATACGAAGAGTGAGAGCCGTCTTATCGAAAAACTGACCAAAATAATGCAGCAGCAAATGACTAAAGCTATCTCTGCTAAGAACTTTATCGCTATACGAGGTAGGAGAGGTAGAAGAGGACCCAGAGGACCACCAGGACCCATGGGTAAACCAGGTAGAACAGGCAAGCAAGGAATACCGGGACTGAAAGGTGATCCAGGACAAAATGGAGTTGCCGGTCCTCGAGGCATGCCGGGACCGAAAGGGGACCGCGGTCCATCGTTAGAACACCCATCAGTTGTCATCTCTCCTCCTCGTTTGATCGTCAATGAAAGCAAGTCTCCTATCCTGAATTGTTCAGCTAAAGGATATCCAAGACCATCCATTGTATGGTCTAGAGTCAATGGTTTGATGCCCACGAATGCATTCATATTGAATAATACTGACCTTGGGATCCAAAAGGTTACACCTCTTGAGTCAGGTATATATCAATGCCAGGCTTCTAATATTCTTGGTAAAGTAAAGAAGACAGCAAGAATTGAAATCAACTTTAGTCCTAGAGTTAATCTAAATAGAGGACCTGTGCGTGTCAAGCATGGGAATAACATAACCCTTCCAATGTGTCACGTGACAGGACACCCCGAACCTAAAGTCACGTGGTATAAGGCTGTTGGTTTGTTATCAAAAACACGAACCGTTGTCAAAGACAGCAAGCTATCGATATCAGACTCAGCAATAAATGATTCTGGTACATATTTGTGTAAAGCAGAAAACCTACTTGGATCAGCCGTTGCAGGGACAATGATAGTCGTAATACCAATACCATTATTTGTGATCAAACCACCTGTAGATTTAGAAGCCTACTTTGCAACCAATGCTGTATTAAATTGTTCTGCTAAAGGTGTTCCTGAACCGCTGATAAAATGGAAGAAAGAAAACGGCCATCTTCCAGCTGGACGACATGAAGTGAAAGATGGATCTCTCGTTATTGAAAATGTTGTCAAATCCGATTCTGGTGTCTACGTGTGTACCGCTACGAGTGGTGGAGTTGCTGACACGGAAGCTAAAACACGAATGAACATTGTCTACAGAGATTGTGCCGATATCTACAAATCAGGTGAAAGACGTAGCGGTGTGTACACAGTAAAACCCGACAGTCAAGGACCCTTTCAAGTCTACTGTGACATGTCCACTGACGGAGGGGGGTGGACAGTGTTCCAGAGAAGAAAAGATGGATCTGTTGACTTTTATCTTGGATGGCAAAAGTACAAAACAGGTTTTGGAAACCTGAATGGCGAGTTCTGGTTGGGTAATGACTACATCCATCGACTGACAGCAAGAACACCCTCGACTCTACGTGTGGACCTGGAGGACTGGAGTGCAGTAAAGTATTTTGCCAAATATGGCAGTTTTAGTGTTGGTTCTGCATCAAACAAGTACAGACTCAAGGTTGCCTCTTATTCGGGTACTGCTGGAGACTCACTGACATACCATAATAACATGTTCTTTTCTACCAAAGATCAAGATAACGATCACTGGAGCAAAAATTGTGCAACACTACGCACTGGTGCTTGGTGGTATTATGCTTGTTTTCATTCCAATCTGAATGGGAAATACTTGGGAAATACTATTGATGGAAAGGGAATTGTATGGAGTAAAACAAAAAACAACTATCTTTCATTCAAGCGTTCAGAAATGAAAGTACGACCCAAAACATTGTAATGTTATTCTAAGGTCCATTCCTTGTTGCGCTTCTACTAAGCCTCCTCTCGTGTTTAGTCAAGGACTGCATGCAGCAAGCCATTACTTCAGTACAGCACAGTCCTCGACCAATCATAGTGCTTGTAGCGAGGTGACTAAATGATAACAATATATCCATGACTTTTGATCCCAAATGTATAAAACATTAGTTTAGAATTTAATATCATCACTAGTAGATGAGCTTGACGTTAGGTGCTTGTTCGTTTGGATGAGAGGAGCCCGGCACATAAAATCGCGGTAACCATGGCAACCCTGTCACAACTCACCGTGCACCTGTCACACTGATGGTCTGGTCAGTGGAATACTTACCCATATATACCTAACATAGGGAGGAAGGGCGGGACAAAAACAAATCTAGCGTTTAGAGTGTGGTTGCCAGAGGCTAGCGATAGTGAATATCGTAATGCAAACGATTGTTGGCGAATCTAAGGTCAAGCTAGCGTGATCACATGGATAGCGTGTGATCGAGTTGACCCATTAGCAATAAATAGCGTTGATCGATATCGCGGTATTGAATTACCGATCAAATAGCTTAGCCCTGCTGATGACCATAAAGATAATGCTAGCGTAATCACCAGAATAGCGTGTGATTGTAGTAGCATGTGCTTAGCGTATATAGGTGGCCAGTGGGCAGACAACAAATGGAAACAGCGGCTATCGTAGACTATTCGCTGCTACTCAGATCGAGTCTAACTTTGCCTGAATTTCATTTAACCACATGAAACAGATCTAGAGGGTGTACAGACAGCGCTTGAATATGAATTACTGTCATATTGTGTATCTTCCTTTCGATAAATGAGAACTGGAATAAATCTACTTCTTGATATCGATTGACATGACAATCGTAGATACATAATTAGATTCATGACATCATAATCATCAGTGTCCTTAATTTTGCTCTTGCTGAAACACCTAGGGATGAAAGAATTAATTACAGTGATAGAAGTACAAAATTCCTGTCCAGTGATTGCGAATACGACTCTGATTCTTCTGAAAGCGGCTCTGATGTGGAATCAGATGACTCTGAAATGGACGGTTTTGTTGAACATTCTTATGAAGCACTATTTGATGCAGACGAGGATATCGAACAAGTAAGCACAGGCTTACAATAGCATGACGACAGAATCTCTAATTGAAGGATGGTAATCATTGGGGTGGGTGGGATGGAGGGGGGTGAGAACTAAGAAGTTTGTTTTTAAGGGTGGTACTGCCTAATCTTTTGCTTGATATATCTCATTTTTCAGCATTCCTCCTGATAATTATTGCACAGTCCCTTATATACATTTCGAATAAAACTTAAGGCCCCCCTCCGTAAAATGAGTGATTTTACTTTGAGCCCCCCTATCTTAGCATCAATTTTATGTGATGCCCCCCCTCCTGATTATAATTATTGCACACTCCCTAAATCCGAGATGAAAATGGTAGGTCTGAGAATGGCGCTCGCGTACAAAAATGAAGCAAACTAGAGAAGATCTGTTTTTGGAGTATGGTATAGGAAAGATTAATGATTATTTTTAGCTAAAATAGAAATAGGGAAACGCGTTCTAATAAGTGAACAGAAACTTTTTACAAACTACATTCGGGTTCTCCGATATTTAAATTTCACCCTTAGTTTGCAAAGCGCATTTTCATGTGCACCGGGTGTTCGGATTTATCTGAAAGCCATAGTACCTTTGAAAATTCAGCTTAGGTTATACAATGAACGCTTTATACGCAACTCTCGAATTCAGAGAAATTTGCGTTGTTTAAGCTCGGCATCCGACGAAACCTGCTCGAAGCAGACATAACTATATTCTTAATATATTTTATTCTTAATATGATGTTCAGTTCTGACATTTGTTTTGATATTATTATTTATTTAGTGAGCATTGAGAGCAATAAATGGTATTTCTTTGTTCTTTTTCGACATTAGCTTTAAATACTGTTACTTATAAAAGCAACTTGAGTCACGCGTCGCTTAATTTACATAGTAAATACATAAATTTTAAAACAGTTCATCGTGTAGATTTGAATTCACGAAAATGTTAATTAACATTTACCAACTTCTTTAGATAAAATTAGGAACTCAAAACTGAGGAAACAAACTACTTTTCCACAAGGTTACCAACATGTTTTGTTTCTGCAAAATTTTTATACTTCAAAACTTCAATATGAAATTTTTCGAAAATGCAAATTTTCTGAACCTTGAGCAAATTACTTATCCTCCAATATCTCAAAAGCAATTTAAAAACCTAGGTCAAAAAATAGAGAAAATAGGCAATAAAGTAAAAGCATCAATGCTTAACAGCGATATTATACTAATTTCGCTTTCAGTAAAAACATGCTCATTCGAAAACTCATCTTTCACTTGAAAACGTCTTTAAAAAATTTTAGTATTGGATTGTCTGCGTCCGCGTATTTGCGATTTGAAGTTGAATGTTATCGCGTGGATAAAACTCCATGGAGCCACCTTAAATACTTAGTAATGAAATTTATTATGAAAACGATGAAAACTGAGTAAGAATACTGAGAAACCCGAGTTCCTGATAGGAATGGAATCGATGACCCGGAAGCTAGTGACTAATGATAAACTATTAGCTATATGATAGCTACTTCACCATGGCTAGAATATAAACGCATTTTTGGCCACAAATTCAGTCATTTATTGTCTATTAATATAAATTAAGTGGCTTGTCTTGAATAGCATCGGGCTATGCATACATACAACAAAGATCTGTTATTCAGCTTACATAAACATGATAAGTTTTCGCTACACACTATTTTTCTTTTATCTCCGTTGAGAAAACATACTTGTACTGACTACTTTGGTAAGGTTATATCAGCAGGTAAAAATAGCGAGAGTTCATTTTTGACCCTAGTAAGTTACTTGTAGAGGTATTCTGAAACAGAAAACATAGTTTTGCAGCACTGTTTCGGCCATGTAAACTTGAGCAACAAGCTTGTAGCTTCCGGGTATATCTTCTATAACGCGAGTCTGTATGATCGCTGTGGCAGGCTCTTTCGGTTTCAAAGAACAGTTAAGATTGTGGTCTTCACAAGCAAAGGGATTTTTTAGAGGCCATGGTAGTCTCTCCCCTCTAGAAAATATGGCCACCAATTCGATGAGACCATCTTGGACAGTTTCTTCAGGAATGAAGGTGATTTTGGCGGTAACATTGGCTCCTACGTGGAAGACACAAGGTTCAGAGTCACATGGAGTTATGTCAATCTGTAGGACTTTCCCTATTATCGGTCTAATGTGAGATCCACAAGAGTCAAATTCAATTAACTTTGCTTCGGTTGAAGACACAGCTAAAACTACGGCTAAGACCACAAAGTCGCACGCACGACGCATCATCACCGTTTTAAATGATATTTCACACTATGCCTAGGGAAAGTAAAGTCGACTGAATCTTTGAAATTCTTTCAGTTAAGCTTTCAAACTCTGAGCCACTGTCCAATAGGAGCGGGTTTCTGAGTATAATGAACTGAAGCTGATCATTATGCATTACATAATTTTTCAAATAAAATCAATGATTAAGTCTTAGTGATAAACTTATAACGATCGTAATGGTCACGAGGATCAAAAGTGAATACATAAGTTTTTATTGACAATATCATCTTGACTTTTCATGTCATCAAAAAATTATATGCAAAAGAGCAAAAGAAAAAAAAAAGAAAAAAAAAAATACGATTTATTGCACCCAATATCCAATCAACAAATGATGATATCAAAACAAATGTCAGAACTGAACACCAAGAAAATATTTTAAGAATACATAGAGGATATTACATGGGCGCGCGGAGATACGAA